AGCCCTTTAAAGCTTTATAAACACACCAAGGTTGGTATGTATAAATGCATCCATCCATGCTTGAACCACTTAGACTGCATTTCAACGTTCCAAAATGTATAAATAAATAATTTCCTCTCAGAAGTCTTTGACTAAAACATGGTTGTTGTTGGTCATCCACAACTAGAACTTAGGGAGGGCTGTGTTTATGTTTTTTCAGCAGTGTTCGCTGACATACAGCCCACTTTCATGAATAAGCATGTGGCACAAACCCCCTCTCCTTTAACAGAGCTTTTCATTTTAAAGAGGGACCTTGAATAGGGGTCCATTAAGGATGAATTCAAGCTTTAATGCCTGAGGCCACACACGTGTGGCGTCACTCTTAACCCAGCTGTACGTTATGAAAACTACAGGAACAGACTTGACTTGAGCCCAAGCTCAAACGTTTGTAGTTTTATTTAGCAGACAATCCCAGCAGCTGAAAGTAATGTGATGCCATGTAGGACAGTATTAGGTGTTGAGTGCCACCTAGTGGGGCCCTTTAGCAAGTCTGACACCAATAAGCTACAGTTCCATAGTCACACGTACACAATGGGCTTAATATAATCGAATTATACTTAGACAACAGACATATAAGAGCTTTAACACAACCCCCGATTATCCACTGAAACATGCAGGCAGTCAGCGACTTCTCAGTTGCTTGCAAAAATCGTAGCCTGAGCTCTGGTTAAACTGTGAAAAAGAAATTAATCATACTGAATAACTTATTTCTTAAACAGAGCAGTGTTTGGCTTATGGGCTTTTCAATTGTCAGTGTTGATATTTCTTAGAACTGGCATATTGCGGATATAATGGCAGTATATGATATATCATTGATTGATACATCAATAAATTACACACATGGTTACATTTGATCACTTCTTTCAGAAATCATACACTCCATCTTAATGCTTTTTCTTAAATCTAAAGGAGTTTTTTTTATATATGTACAAAAAACAAGCTACAGTGTTTTTTGTTTGTTTGTTTGTTTTTTCCAATACAGATACACTGTAAAAAAAAACTAAAACTGCACAAAGTGTTATTCAAAATACAGTTAAAACACCCATAAAAATTGCTCTACTTCTACAGCATAAATCTCAGGCTGCATCCACTGACTCAAATCCTTAAATCCGTCCCATTGTCCCCAACATTATGTCTAAGATTACGCGGACAGCCTTGACCTACTATGCCCCCCTGAAAAAAGGTCTTCAATAATCCCCCCCCAAAAAAACAGCATTCAACAAAACTGGAAAAATAAATCATCTATATCCACCCGTGTGCCACTGCAGTTCTGTACATTCTTCTGGAGAAATCATACAGACCTATTTTTCGCACTA